AAATGAAGGTCAAGTCACCTCTACATCAATGAATCCCTGCATGTCTGAGGCAGTGGTTGGTTCTGGGCAGTATGGCCCGGTACAGCCATATCGGGAGCAGCTGAGAGCAGCGGCCACCATACCAGAACAGTGTTTCAGTGGGCCCACCCGCCCACCTGNTAAAGATTAGGCTAGAAACAACACCAGAATGTTTCCTTCCTGCCTTCCTTACAGGATTAGCCCTGTAAAGTGGGAAGAAACAAAAGGAGATTTCTTCCAACAACCGGTTCTCCCAACTGCTTAGAAAGTTAACAACCTGTTCTCCTGAACAGGTGCGAACTGGCTGAATCCCACCACTGGCCTGGTGTCCACAACTAATCAGATTTAGAAGTTACGCTCTATGCTGCACAGCCTGGCCATTGAATTCTAAGAGAGAGAGAGAGAGACTTGCTTTTTCCACCCATTCTTTCTCTAGGTCTTTTTCTTGGAGGATCTATGTAAGCAAAACGGCTTAACCGTTTTAGCAATTACACGGGTTCTCTTCATATAACTAAGCAGGGTAATTTTAACTCTGTGTATGTCCCACAATGCACAAGCACTGCTCTCATTGACCCAATTAAGCATGTTGTGGGAGCAGAGCATGTGTGTGTGTGAATGTTCCTTTGTTTAAGTAGATTTCTCAAGAGGATAAGAAAGAATAAAGAAAAATGGAAATCATTAGAGTTATCTGTCCCTCCGTGTTTGGGAAGACTTAACTGCTCAATCTGTGAGTATCCAATTTTGAAAGTGAACTTGATCATCGGTCATCAATTCAGATATTGATCAGTCCATTTTCACCGCAATTCTAGGTGCTTTCTTCATCCACATTACATTTTAGATCAAACTCTGGGTGTCTTCCAATCAAGAATTAAAACAATATCAGTAATAAAAATATAAAAACATATTAAAGGTAAAAGTTCCCCTTTCACATATGTGTTAGTCACTCCCGAGTCTAGGGGGCGGTGTTCATCTCCATTTCAAAGCTGAAGAGCCAGCGCTGTCTGAAGATGTCTCCGTGGTCATGTGTGACTAAATGTTGAGTGCACATAGAACGTTGTTACCTTCCCATTAAAAAAGGTGGTTCCTATTTTTCTACTTGCATTTTTACATGCTTTTGAACTGCTAGGTTGGCAGAAGCTGGGACAAAGTAATGGGAGCTCACTCGGTTATGCAGCGCAAGGGATTTGAACTGCCAACCTTTCTGATTGACAAGCTCAGCGTCTTAGCCTCTGAGCACTATTCAAACCATAAACATTAAAAACAAAAACCAAGTTATGCTTCCAACATGCATCCTATACAGTACATCTCATCCTATACCAGCACCTGGGCTTAAAACCAGGTCTTCAGGGCTTTTCAGAAAGCCTGGTCTTCAAAACGATTTAGAGAATTGCTCTCAGATTTCATGCTGAGGGCCAAATGGATGTTTTGGATCATTTTCTGAGTATCTTTGTGGTTTTGCTCCTCAGCTCCTAATTTCCAGCTTCTTTGTGCGCTCGACGATTGTGTCCCGCTATGCCTCCACACGAGTCTGGATTTCCATGAGCAACTCACATCCTGAGGCCAAAGAAGCTGTCTTTGACTTGGATCTGCCCCGTTCTGCCTTCATCTCCAACTTTACCATGTGAGTCTAGGCCAGGGAATCACATTTCTATATTCTTTGAATGGAGATGCTGTCATCTTCATTCTGTGAAATAAGAAAAGCATCAGCTCGGTGGGAAAGTATCTGCTTTGGGAACTGAAAAAGCCAGGCTATACATCCAACTGTTCAAAGTAAATTATCTGGTAACAAATGATAGGGAATTGAATTCCATGACAACTTTTGCTATTCAGAACAGTGGTAGGTTGCTAACGGGTTTACTACCAGTTCGCTTGTGCTCGCGCAACGCTTGTGCGCATGCACAGAAGCGTCCGGATGGGTGGGCGGAGCCTCCCGCTGCCACCACTACCGGTTCGGTTGAACTGGGCCGAACCGGGAGCAACTCACCTCTGATTCAGAAGAAGGAGATGCTGTGTTAGATGAACAAGTAGTAAACCATCTTCATATGTTGAATAGACTCAGCCAAGGCCCATTCAGTGGGCATTTTTATTCATGTTCTGTACAGAACATAATCTGCAGATAAAATTACCTCTACTGCAAATAGCAATAGCACTTAGATGTATATACCGCTTCACAGTGCTTTACACTTTACACAGTGCCTACACTGTGGTTCTAAGTGATTTACCGAGTCAGCCTATTGCTCCCAACAATCTGGGTTCAAATAGTACATACATTGAATTCCTGCTGTTCCAGTGAATCTTGCATGAACTATTGTTCAGTGAGTTACAGTGAGGAATACAGCTATTGTATTTGAATGGTTTAAAAAAATACTCTTGATAGATGGGAGCAAAGAGTGAGTTCTGTGCACATATTTTTGTGACCTAGTGATTCATAATTTTGAAGCTCATTCATGGCAGTCCTAATGAGCAATCTCTTGGGGAAAAAAAAATCCTAAAAACCAAAAAGCAGAGGAGGAAGGCAGTAGGAGAGCCCTGACAATTATAGTTGTATAAATAAGCAGTCGGTTGATTGGTTCCACCACAAAACCGCGGTAGACAAAAGCGCGCTTGACGAAAGCGCGTACGTGACGTCATCACAGCGCGACGAAAACAT